TGAAGCCCAAAATCACCTACCTGTTTCAGATGTGATTATATAAAAATTAGAGCGTTTGCCTAGCACTGTTTCTGCCAAGGGCTCTTGCAATCAATTTTGCTCTGTTTCAGCGCACCCCTTGAGTCCCAGGAGAGCTTTCTTTCCACTAGGCTCCATTCTAGAGGCTGGGAAGTGTTCTTGACCCTTCCCAGGCAAATCTTTATATTTTTTTGTTGGAATGATTTATCAGCAGAAAGGAAACGAAGAGGAGCATGACTGTGCACCTCAGCTTTAGGATGTGCAGCTCAGAGAGACCTGGATTCTCATCTCTGCTTCCAGAGTTGCGTCTGTCTTCTTATCCACTGAGTATGTATGTGGTCGTTTAAATGGATAAAACACAGAGGGAGCACTGGAAGCAGAGACCAGTCCCCAGAACATCCTTTCCCAAGGGACAGATTTATTAGGTAGTTATTAGATAAGAGTTGAGCCATTGTATCCCCTGGCTCCCCAGCTGTCTCCTGAACTGCCTGTGAAGTTGTCCTTGCAACTTAGGGCAGGTTAGGCAGCAGCTGATTGAGACTTTTTCAGCGCTTTGGATTCAGGTACCTTATTTCCATCAAAGTCCCTTTTACACAGCAAAGAGCAAAAGCCAAAATTTGTTTTTGTGGTGCATCATATAAAAATGGATTGACTGCATAAGGGAAAAGGCTCCCCAAAACTCCAACAGATGCTTTTGGTTGTGCACAGAGAAGTCATACTTACATGGAGAAGGGTCCTTTAGACAAAACCGTAAGGCAATTCAGGCTGCCGGCAGGTCTGAGGAAACAGCTGGGTACTTTGCAGATCACCCAAAAATGCCTCAGCACTTTTCGCTGCTGTGTCCTGTGTTGGAGCCAAGCTGGCGTGGTCCCCACTGCGTTCCAGCAGCACGGAGAGCAGGAGGTCACTTCCTCGATGCTGATAAAGATTTTCCCACGGCGCAAGATGGCCTGAGAGATGATCTCAGCTTTTTTTGTCGCCTAAAGATGGTGATGAGAAAGCAAAACCAAAAAAAAAAATTATCTAAGTGAGTCAAAGCCCATTTCCACTGGACTTTATCTTCCCACTTGTGCCAAGCGGGGCAGAGCTGGGCTGAGTTTGTTTTCCGTCCTCCTGTTTGTTGCAACATCTTCTTGGAGTCTTCTACTTCAAGCTGGAGAGGTCCTGAAAAATAAGAAATGTGAAAGCGGCGACCGGCTGCCTTTGCCCCATATATATAGCTTTGGTATCTGGGTTACTCTGTTTTGTCTGGTACGTATCTGTGATACTGCCTATTTATATCCAGTTCTGTTTCCTGTCCACACTCACCAGCACCATCCTATCTCCCAGTCTGTGCAGTGGTCTGGAAGCTCAGATGTACAAACAGGCCAGAAGTTGTCAACATCTCCTGTTTTTTCATCTGGGACAGCTAGGATAAAGGCTTAGAGTGGATGAGCTTCCTTGACCAGTGAGAGCTGGAGACGGGGAGAAGCACATTCCCTTGTACTGCAACTTTGGATAGAAGGAGCTGTGGGTCTTTCTCTGTGTCGATTTCAGCTCCAAAGCCAGGATGGAGGGTGTCCTCCCTACCTCCAGCCCAGAGAAGGGGTATTTTCATGGTCCCACGCACTGTGGCAGCGCGCTGGCCGGCAGTCCCAGGAGAGCAGCTCTGCAGCAGGCTGGCTTGCCCCCAGCACAAAGCTGTCGGCTCCCCATTTCCTCAGGGGCTTGGTGGCTTCAGCGTAATTAGTGAGACTTCAGCCTCTCAGTCTCTGCAGCCTGTGGTCCTGCCACTTTGAGGTGTAGATGGTGTCCATAGCAGGGCATGGTGCTTCACTCAGTGTCCTTGCTGGAGGTGACGGCACCACAAATCGCTTTTTCCGGGGAAACTCTCAACCCTCCGGTGGTGCCCCAAGCGCCGCTTCCTCCCGTTTCTGACAGTGCAGGTCTCCTTTTGCTAAGCTGAAGTATATACCTAATGTAAGCACTTACACCTCCCCGTCGGAGCCACCTAAAGCAAGAAGAGCTTCACATTTTTTAGAGTTGAGGTTGCAGTGTCCTAGACGTACCTTTCAAATGCAACTGCAGGATCTGCATAATTGAAACTTTTGCTCTGATCTCATTACTTCCCTCAGGCAGTTCCTGACAAATGGAGATTATAAGCGAGGGTCTGTAGAAAATGCAACTGAAAAAAGGCATCTTTAATGTTTTTGCAATCTGTTCAAAGGAGCCTGGGTGCTGAGCACAGAAAACTCGTTTGCCTTTTACCTGAAATGCCATTGTGTTTATTAATTAAGAATGGCATTAATCCTAGAACATACCCAAATCTTTTTGTGATTTTGCATTTGTCATAACTAAAAGATCTCACTAAATATTTCTCCATACCTCTAAATAATATTGCCCATCATGTAATACTTGTCTCAGATTTTCCTCAGTGACTTTGTATCAGAGCTGAAAAAGAGCTATCACAGAAAATAAAATGGGACTAAAATAACAGTCCTTTGTATTAAATTTAACATTTGGCTTTTGTCCCAGAATTTTCCACATCCATATTAGAATCAGATGGTAGAGTAAGATGAAAAGATTTCCTGGATGGGTTTTATTCTTATTCTTACTAAAGGGCTGATAACAGGCTGAAGGCAAGATACTTGTTGTAGTAAAAAAATCTGCCTAGTATCAAAGGCTGGATGGACAAGCTGACATGTATTATTGTTAGGCCTCCCTGCTTGATCACATTTCAACATCATAAAATCATTCTGCTAGAGAACATGAAGTATAAAAATTCCAGCGTGAGAGCAAAGAGCCTGGGCTGGCAGGTAGTGCTGCTTTGGGCACGCTGCTTTGTGCTTAGTAAGACAATACAAGGGTTTGATATCAAAGAGCAGTGCTGCCGACAGCACAACCTAGCTATATTTATTTTAAATTTTAGTTATTCTCAGCTCTTTGCATTCATGAAAGGCGCTCCCTCATCCTGGCTGACCTGTGGAGCTGGTATCCCTCGGGATGTGACAGTGTAGGGCAGCCCCACTGGTATTGCTCAGCCTTTTTCAGGAGCTGTGCATCCTCTGCCCTGTCCCCGAACCAGCCACTTGCCCTGGGTTCCTTTGGCAATCTGGAGACAGAAAGATCAAAGGGACCTAAATACTCTTCAGAAAGCAATTTTCCCTTTACTCAAAGCAGCTTTGTATAGTACTTATGTATGATTGGGCTTAAATTGTACAAACGTTTGCAGGCTCTGGGTATTCTATGCAAAAACAATTACTTTTGATAAAATGAAGGAGTGGTGCTTTCTAGTGTTGCTGTTCTGCTGTAGTGGAGACGGCGAGCATGATATTGGAGCTATAAATTAGATTGTGCAGAGCAGCTCTTCTGTAGGGAGTCTGCTGCTTCAAACCGACAGGCTATATTTAGCGTTTTCTTGGGGATATTTTTTCTCTGTTTTGAAGCAGTATCTTCAGCAGCAAAAGTGATGCAGCAGTTGTAGCCTGCGTTGACCCTTCATCTTAGCTTGTGATCACAATGGGTATCAAAGAGCAAATATGCTTCGTAGGTATCTTCTTTTGCTTTTCTAAATACACCTTTTTAAAGCACCTGGTATGTGGTTTGAATTTACAGGCAGAGAATCATTTCACCAGCACGGGGTGTTTACAGCGTCGACCTCAACATCTGAGCTCTTACCCAGCACTCCTCTTACACTCAATGGAGAGAAATGTGCATATTTAGAGGAATAATTCATCTCATTATTTTAGACATCTTCTTTCCAGTGAGATGGATTGTATTCTAGAAGAGTCCTTTTCTCTCCAAAGCGATAATTAATCCTAGTATAATTAGTTCAGGTGAGGCTATCTGTAGTTAGGTGAGATGGATCCCATAGAGCATGTTTCTGAATAGCACTGTATTCTCACTCTGCTATTAACACTGTATTAATGCTTTTCTTTTTTTTCTTTTCTTTTTTTTTTTTTTTTTAATGATCAGATTGCCATAGGGAATACACTTGTGTTTGTAAGAAATATTTGTTTCGGTCCCTAAGAGATTTTTACCACTGATAATTACAGCTACCTTAATGCTTCCTGTGAAAGCTGCTTTGGTAGTTGTATTGATCCTGTCCTCCATGACTCAGGTACCAGTTCGATGCTAGACATCTTCTTGGGTGAAGAATGCATTCTGGGGCATGTTGGGTACTTGGGCAATGCTAAGGGACATAGGGCAGAAATCTCTGAGAGGACACGGGACTTCCTTGCGCTCTCCTGAAAACAGCTTCAAGGAGGCCAGATGAATGGGGCTGTAGCACATACATGCTTGTTTTCAGGAGTGTTACAACAACTGGGATGGGAGATGAGGGAGCATAATTTGTACAAGTGTTGATGCCCTGTTCATTTGGGTTCACCTGAACCATGCTTATGGGTTTACTCAAACAGAAGAAAAGCCCCCAGATCTGATTTCCTCAAGATGAGTTTGCCGTATATGGCAGGGCACAAAGGATAAGTAGCAGCTTAGGAGACATAAGAATTTCCTATGAAGAGTCCTCAGCAAAAAAAAAAGAGTAATACCTAGTAACTAAGGAATCAAAGTTATTTCTGAAGTGTATAAACAGAGTCACAGAACAGGAGTGATAAGGTGTTGTTGGTCTCATATTTGTCATTTGTCACAATATCATACTGGTGCGAACAAATTGATTTTCATAGGGTGATGGCTGTTGGAAACATGTTCCCCAAAATCTGTAATTGCTTTTGGAAGTCTTGGCTTGGAACAGAATTCTGATACCTGGATTATTGACACCCAAAACCTCAAGGGTCCCTACTATGTTCCACTGAGTATTAGTTTTCCTCTAATTAATTTTCTGGTTGATTAAGTAATTCATTTTTCTAGGTGACTATGTATTCTGTTTCTTTACTTAATGAATTCTTTCACCTCCGCTTTGCCTATTCCCTCTCTTGTCAAGGTCTTATATTAGTGTTTACAGCATTACCTAGTGAGATGCGTGTGCATTTTCTTTTTTACAGGTGTAACAGAAATTGCACCATGTATTTTGAAGACGTCACCAACAGATCAGCAGCTGAACAAGCTTGCGAGGAGACTGGGACCCGAATGGGAGCACATAGTTCTGTGCTTGGGTTTGTCCCATACTGACATCTATCGATGTAAAGTCAATCACCCTCACAACCTGCAGTCACAGATCGTAGCTGCCTTTGTCCTGTGGAGACAGCGTTTGGGGAAAAAAGCCACAATCCAAAGTCTGCAAGCCAGCCTGATGGCAGAAGAAGTGGATCCTTCTGTGATACAGTACATGCTTGAGTGAAGCTTTGCTATTGAGCTTTCAAGTACTTTGTTAAATGAATTAAAGAGGATTTACTGAAATGCATGTTGAAGATCTGACACCTCAAACTGGAAAAAAAAATGGGGTTGGGAAGTGTGGTTTTATTAGGCTTAAACATTCCAGTTGTCTGTGGCATCTTGTGACTTGTAATTCTTTTCATGCCAGATTAATTTTTAGCAGGCATTAAAAAATGGATCACTTTTTCCGGTTTGCTTTTGTACTATTCCAGTGGGGATATAGGGTGATACTTACAGTCCTTGCAAGCAGGAGGCCCTGCCGTGAGTTCAGCGAGGTTTCTGGTTTCATTGCGGGAGGAACACTTGGTTTAACCTATTTTCTGGACTTTGTAGGAGCCTTTTTTACTGCTGTTCCATGCTAGTTCCCTGATATCTCAGCAAGAAATGAGAATAATCACTGTTACTAATTTAACAATTTTACAACAGTTATTGCAGGTGGCTAGTTTCACATTTATAAAAATTTTAGCACTTATGGTTTCTTGCTAGGATAGATGGCTGCCACCTTAGTCTGCCTTTGAAACTGGCCCTAAGTGGAAGTAACAGGAACCTAGTGTGCCTGTGAGGGTTTCTCCAGTTATTATTTAAAGCGTTTCTGCAAGGAGACAGGCACTAGGCTTGTATGCCATCTCCTAGCATAGCACGGGTGGAGAGTTCTTACTAAGAATGGTAGAAATGGTAGAATATAGTAGAAAAGTGACCAGAAGATAGGCAGGAGACAGCAAACAGAGCAAGAAGTGGCCTAAAAAATGAGATGGTTTCTAAGTTGTCCATGTTTGTCTCCACTAATAAACTGGGAGACAACCTGGTGCCCGCTGAGTCTACTGCACTCTGGATCAGGACAATCTTGTTTCACAGAAGTTTTAGTCTTAGGTGGAGTGTCATAGGCACCTTTCTCTGACCACTGCATGCCCACGGATTACTAGAGCTTGTAGGTCTTTTCTGGTGAACTCCCCATTGCTCTCCTTCCAGCTTGTGCCACCCACCAGGCTCATTTGCGTTTTGGTAGGTAAGCTGCACCTAATGGGGGCAGCTTCGACACTCCTGTCTCTAGTTCTTTGCCACCTGTAATTGTACCATCAGTGGTGATCAGATTTTATCCAGAAGAACAGTAAAGCTTGGGCTTTTCTCCACCTTCGCTCCCGTCAAGGACTTTTTCTTCCTGCTGGAAGAAACCACTGAGTTTCTTGCTGAACAGGTAAGTGGGGCTCAGTCCACAGGGTGCACGTCCGGAGGCAATGGAAGTGCCCTGCTGCTCTCTGAGGCCTGATTATAAGAGGCGGAATATGTTTTAATTCTCCCTGGGGCAGTTTGCTGTACAGTAAATGAGGAACACAGTTTGGATGCAGGGTTTCCAGGTCTATTTATGAGCAAGTTCTGGTAGACTGTTTCATCTACAAAGTCTTTGCCAAGTAACTTCCCATCCTACAAGATCTGCCCTGTATAATTTAACAGCTTAACAGCCTTGTCAGAAGTCTTTATTGGAGCATGAATGAACTTTACTGCTTTTTTTTTTTTTTTTTTTAATTCTTCCTGTGCCTAGATTTTGGAAGACGTCTGGGAAATTAGGAAAGGCAAAGAGATTTTAAGGACACGCTGTCTGCCTTGTTTTTCAGAAGCATGGAAACAGAAAACATATCCTGGCAGGATCAGCTCCCACAGGTCCCAAAGCAATCTGGTGGTATTTTGGTTTTTATCTTCTGTATACAGTTTTGACCTTCAGTAAGTCGTGATCCTGTTATACCTCACTCAGATCTTAAGTAACTAGATCCTATTATGGCTACTTACAGAGTTTAAGGCTATCAACAAGTCCCAAATAATCAATGTAAATAAATTTAGGCCCTGGTATTTATTTATTTTTCTGTTTCATGGTGCTTTAATGCCAGCATATTCCTTTTCGGTTGAAAGTCATCCTTGAGCAGGTGTATAGACATTTGGCACATTCAGATGAGCATGGCCCAGCACAGGGAGCTTGATGAGGACTCGGAAGCAATTCAGCTAGTGAGAGGGGCAGGAGCATCATCTGCATGGTAGGGGAGAGGGGCAAAGCAGTGTCCCTGGCAGCAGTTTGTAGATCTACTGTGGGCCACTAGAAACCTGATGGGTCGCTGTCTCATCAGGTAATTTCTCCGCAATCTTTAAAGTGGGCTTTAGGTGGGCTAAATTCTGCATCCCAGCAGTGGTACCAAAATGACAGGAGCCATGGCTGGACAAGGAATTTAAAACCTGGCCTCTCGTGTTGTAGAACAAAGCACCTAATTCATAATTTATAGTTACTTTCACGTTCCCAGGCTCTAAATTAATACTGTAATACTTGAGTTGCAAATATTGAAGGGAGAGGTTTACTTATTTTATGAGGCTGTTTCCATTGCTGTTATTTTTAAATTCATGGAAATGTTCCTATTAGACTCTTCAGTTTTATTAAAGCTTGTTTTTGCACCACACAAATGCAGGGACACATTTAACTTGACAGTAGTATTCCTTTAACCCAGTGGATTTTTCCATCCACTTAAAAATATTTTTCTTCTGTATGTAATGCTTTATTTTGCACAAGGATGCAATTAAGACTATTTAATTCTTCAGATGTATAGCGAGGCCTCTCATTCTCTCTTAGGACAGCCAAAAGGTCTTAAAATGTTTATTCTTCTCTGGCTAATTTGGGAGCAAATGTTATTTATTTACATCTCACTCATCGTCAAGCCTGCAACTTCAGTATTGTTCAGGAGTGAGGCAACTCAGGGAGTGAATTTCCCCATCCCTCCCTTCGCCTCAACTCCCTTGTGCCACCAGTTTGGGTGATGACAGGGGGCTTGCGTGGGGGCTCCTGTGCCCCCAGGACTGGTGCATGGGACAGGCTGAGAGCCGGGGCAGCCCCAGGCAAGGACTCGTCCCTCTTCCTTGGCTCATCACTTGCCAGGAGTGGCCACTCGAGGCTTTGGGCTAGTGCGTGGACTCAGGGACAAAGATGAGCCAGCAGCAACTGTTCTCTGATGTGTTTGGGTTTCTTAACTGGTGTTGAAAGAACCTTTCTAGTGAAAAAGGGTATTATTACTATCTACTTACATGTGGCAGAGTTTAGGAGCCCTGAGAGAGGAAAACATGGAGGTGGCCCCTGCTGGACCTTCCACTGAAATGGATGGCTTAACTTCTGGTTCTTGGAGAAAGTAGTTGTTGATTCTCTTCCTTGGTCTATAAAGGAGACTTTGAGATCCCATTTAACTCTCCTGCGTGGTAAGTAGGCTTTATAAAAGCTGTTTTGTAGCCTGTAACTACAGGTGGACTCTTAGCATAGCAATAGGCAAGATCTAAGAGTGCTGCTTCCCACCTGTATAAAGCAGCATGGATGATCACAAAGGAGGGATCTCCTCAGGGCAGAACTGTGTCAAGGAGGCTGCATTGAACAGTGGCTGGAGTGTAGAGTAAAATGAAAACGCCGTCATCTTTGAGCTGCTCCTCCCAGATGATGTGGGGGAAATTTCCATCTTGAGTCATATATTATGACAGTCATTGATCGATGGAATAAAACATTTTGTAAAAGACTGGAAAAATAAACAGTCATATTATATTCAAAGAACATAAAGGGCACGCTCATCTGATGCTAAATGTGGCCCTGCTGCCAATTTTGTTTCTTACTGGAAATAAAAACAGTCTCTGAGAGCTAATCTGTTTATAAGCTTCCATATTCTCTATAGCCATGGGCTAATGTCAAGGAATAGTAGAAGTAGAGCTGATGTAAAAGCTTTCTGCATTTACAATGAATATTCAAAAGCTTTATCCAAATTTCACGAAATGAAAAGAACTTTGACTTTCAAGGTATCTTTCTATCACCTGATAAATAGACCTAAAAATAAATCCAATGATTTATCTATTTTTGGCCTTGATACAGTGTTTTCTATGACTGATTTCCTGAGAAAAAGGAACATTTGCCGGAAAGGGAAATAATCTTTCAAAATATCTTCCCAGATTCAAAAAAAAAAAGAAGTATGGGGGTTTTTAACCGACCTCACTTCTGAACCCAGCATTTTAGTTGTGAAAAGAGATAAATTGGCATTTTCCCTTTGAAGCTGTTGGGGACAGTTGAACGATCAATAGAGCTGATAGCGGTGGGGGAAGGCTCCTGGCACTCCTGCAGCAGCCACTACACTAAAACGTCTGCACGTGTTCCAGATACCATTTCTGACACTGATGTCTGGTCCAAGCCCCAGCAGCAAAGAGGCAAAAAGTCTCTTATTAACTTTGGTGCGCTTTGGATTAGGCCTTCTTTAATTGGAACCTGCTGAAGCATGGTACTTTTACTACCTCCCTTTGAAAAGCAGTCTTTATGGATTTGGGGCAATAAAAAAGAAAGGGTTTTTTTTGTGGGTGTGGTAAGCAGTCTAGGTTATGGGGTCCTCTTTTCACTGCCTCAAGTGCTACTTTGCACTATTCACTTCAAAGTAAGCATCATGAGAAAGGAAAAAGAACAGAGGAGTGGAGCTATTCAGCAAAGGATATCGGTATGTTTCCAAAACCAAGAACATTTTCAGTTCTGGAATGTGAATAATCCCCTAAGAGGTGGGATTTGATGGCTCAGGAGATCGTTAATAGATTCATGGAGTTTTCCACCTCGAGATCAAGGATCCAAACCCACACTGACCCAAAAGAAATGCGACCTAGTGGCAGCCTGTGCAAAATGAACTACACGTTTTCCTCTCTTCTACCTTTAGGGCTTTATTTTCTGACCTACGCAGCACCAGTCCTTGCTATCGGACTTAGAAAAGGGCATAGAAGATTAAATGAGCCAAGTGCCTGACCTGCCCTCTGCCCAGAAGAGGGACAAACCCATTAGACCCTCGGAGGGCAAGGTAGGAAACGTGGATTGCCACGGCCAGTGTTAATGTTCACATGGTGCACGCAGAGAGGCCATCAGCTTCCCAAGATGTCACCTGGACCTCCTCCATACCAACAGCAAGCTCCTTCACAGAGAGAGGACACACAGAGGCCTCCTTAACAACTCCTTGCAGCACACACTCAAAGGCTGTTTTCATTTGCTGGCTAGTTATTATTCTCCTGTGGGTGCTGTCATAGCCCTTCCAGAGGAATGTGTGTCTAGGCATAATATTTAACTGCCAAAGTCCTGTTTCTGCATGACAGAGTCTCTTCCACGAACAGGTTCAGAGCAGGGTAGGACACCACCTTAGCTGGGAGCA